GAAGTCGATCTTCACATTTGGCTCTTCCAGTCAACAACAAGGGCATTAGCCAAAATGGATACTTTTTCATCTTTGGCACTTCCATCTTTCTGAAGATATTTTAAGTTTGATGTGACCTTTGAAATTTCTTTAGTTTTGTAAGAAATGACTGATTTGATCCGGCTTGTGACAGCATTCCAGTAACATCACTAATATGGGATACTCACAGTGGTTCGATCCTGGTATTTTTGGTTGGCAGGTTGTAGTGATTTACGCATTGCAGAATATTAGTTGAGAAGAATTGTTTCCATTCAGTCGTTCGAAACGAAGCGATCTTACTTGCTAGTGGCATAATGAAAAGACAAAAGTTGTTTTGACAAAGCGCCTGCTCTGTCGGTTAATAATTCCTTCAAGGGACAAAACGAACCTCAGAATTGTAAGCATAGGGTTAACCAGCAGGTGAAGAAGCACTGGTCAAAATGACCGCAAGAGTTGTGAGATGCATAGCTGGAGAAACATGCTAAGAATTGCAGCTGACTAAAGTACGAAAATAAAAACAGTGGAAAAGAAGAACTTTTCCCCTTACATTTGGCCTTGCTCTGCGATTGTCTCGAAGCACCGGAAATAGAATTCCAGCAAAACGTAGAAATGAAAACAAGCTTTCAGATATCTCTAATAAGCAGTTGATTTATCAGTGCATTCCATTTTTAGGTATCACCAAACCAGTCATCGTCAGCGTCGTCCACGTCAGAGCCAGCGGCGCAGCAGCAGCACCAGCAGCCGCCGGTTCGACCGCTCACAGCTAATGAGGAAAAAGCAGCGAAAATTCGAGAAGCCCTGGAGAAGATGCGTGAAGCAGATATCAAGAAAATTTACGTGAAATTTTTTGTGGATGACGGTTCATCAACTGTTTCGTTGCTTGTCGATGAAAGGTGGACGGTGGCCGAATGTATTCGACGGATTGCAGCCAAACTCAATGTTCCGCTCAGCGAACATCATACTATTGTCGAGGAGTATCCTGAACTTTACATCAGTACGTTCACTTGTTTCTGTAGTCACGAAAAAAAAAATGCCCAGCTTAGCCAGGCCTTGCACTTGACTTCGTCTCGGTATAAAGCTCTTGTCTTATTTAAAAAAAAAATTGTTTTTTGTGGGTTTTTTGCCTTGTTCAGTTATCAGCTCAGTTTCTTTAAACACATTTTGATAGAGTTTAAATATAACTGTAAATACAAATATAACTGTAAATATGAATATAACTAAATATAACTGTAAATGTAAATATAAATATAACTGTAAATATAAATAAATATAACTCGAATCATTTAAAATATAACTGTCGTTGTCACACCCGAAAAGCAAAAACTACTGCGTATTGCCTAAAATATCAAAACCATGCAGACAACATTGTAAGTATTCCACCTTAATGCTGTTGCTGGGATGCTCCCAGGTACCGATCGTAGCTCCTTCACGCCCGTCGATACTAACTGCGTACCTAAATTCTGTACCTACCGCTTATTTAATGAACACTATCGTATATTAGCGCAAAAAAGGAAAAAAACTACCTTTATTTGGTTCAAATTGCGAGACTAGCTACCAATAAAAGTTTTCTGACAGATAAAAGAGTAACGTGTATATAATGATCAACAGAGGATGACGCTTGAAACATTTGATTTACTGTTTTTCAATTCTTTTGTTAAGTGTTTCTCATGTTTCCACGGATTAATGAGTTTTCTTTTGGCAGTTATCTTGTGAAAAAATTTAAAGTAGTTTTCGAAATTTTATTATCGAAAAAGCTCCGGGATTTTCATAAAACTCCTCAAGCCTGTTTTTTTATGCGTTTTTTGCAGCAATGCAATGCAAAAAACGCATATTGACGAGAGGTTGTCTGTGT